TGATTGAGCCTAGGCCAGGCATTTTATTGCATTTTAAGCAGATACTTTCATGCCTCATGACAATCCTTGATTTTATTCAAAAACAGGGAGAAATAAACATTTAAAATTAAGTTTATTTTCTATTTAATTTTAATTTTTATTTCGTAAATAAAAATACATTTTAATTGGTGCATTTATACCCCTTGTCGACCATGTTTTTCAGAGATTCTGTGACAAGTCGTGCAATTTTTTCATCTATACTCTCTTTGGTAATCCTCCCATCATTCTCATCTAGAAATTAATCTCTTTTTCAAATTGATTTTGATGCTATTTACAACAAAGAAAACTTATCCGACGTTAAAACTTTTTGATCTAAGTTAATGCAATCTCTCAAAGTTGTCCTTGATGGCAAGAATTAATAAACTTTCTGTCAAAATAACCATTGCAATTTTACCCAAAAAAACAAAGGGTTTTGGAAATTTTGTAAAATTATTAATCTGCTAAACAGTGTTGACCATCGGGCATGGGTCTTTTTGTAAGAGTGCCGAACAACCTGATGTAATAATTTTTTACAATTACTTGACTGTGAAGTTAAGGGAAAGGAATTGAGTCTTTGCCACAAACTTAAATTTTCTAATCCCTATATTTATGGAACCTGATGTTGTAGACTTTTGATATTTCAAACTAAGATAATTTAATGCAACAGAATTCATAGATTGAAATATCTAAGGTCTACGACATTCGGTTGCAGATATATAGGAATTAGAAAATCAGAGTTTGTGTCAAAGACTCAATTCCTTTACTTTACCAAGGTTTTGGATGTTTTGCAGGCAAAATTGGTCTAGGGAAACTGTGGTAAAGGGAAAATTTTAGTTTTAAGAAAAAATATTTATACACACTTTTATTGCCTTTAGAAATGAAAATGTGCGAAACTTTTTACTAAAACTTCGCAGAGCGGGTCGTTTAATTTACTTAATTGTCCCAGGAAACTGAACTCTGCTTGGTGAATCTTGGGTCTGCAATAACAGAAAAAATGTTCAAAATAAGACCTTTAATATAATAATGTTTAAAATAATAATTTTAATATAAAAATGTTCAAAATAAGAATTTTAATATAACAATGTTCAAAATAAGAATTTTAATATAGTAATGTTCAAAATAATATTTTAATATAATAAAGTTCAAAATAACATGTTTACCGCATAGACTGCATTCATCATCTTGTTCAGGCTCTCTTAGAAGAATTGAGTACTTTCTGCAGAAGAAAACCAAATATGCTCAAAAATGATTATCAGCTTGAACAAAACTTCCATGTTTCCTGTTCGGGGTATATACTTTTGTGTAGATATACATTAAGAAATAGAAAATGAACAGAGTATATAAAACTAACTAACTAAAAAATACGAAATATTTATTCTTAAAAATATAGTGATCTCTACAAATTTGATTAATCTCGTTTGTGAAACCAGACTCAGAGCTGAAAACTTTAAAAATGGATTGCGAGATCAATGCTTGATCTTCTCTTTTTCTTGATATCGAGACTAACCTAATCTTGTACTTGTATCCTGAAAAGTGTATAAAATTCAACCCATCGGAGTCGCGTATACGAAGCCGATAAATTTAAAATTTGCGCCATTTAAGATTTTATACGGAAATGGGAGTAACTCTCTAATTAAAAAAACCGGTTTTAGATTTTTCTGTACTATATTCAAAAAAGAACGGTTTAAGAAGAAAATCAAAAGTGTGTCCGTTGGATACTCAGATAAAGTAATCGGGATTAAGGATATCTCATTCTAAAGTTTTCAGCTCAGGTTTCCGATACTACTGGGTTATAATATACTCTTTCTTAAGTTTTGGCTCGCTCAGCTGACTTACCTCATAGTTATATACAGGGTGTCCCACGAAACATGAAAGTTAGTAAACAGTTGAACATTTCTTTAGTTTCCTTGAAACCAAAAAGCATAACAAAATGTATCATATGACAGTCCTATTATAGTAAAATTAATTTTAAGGTAAAATATATTTTAGTAAAAGAATTTGTCAAACGAAATAAACACTAGATATTACAGCTTATATGGAAGAAGAAATTCAAAACTATTTATCTACTCTCTGTTTCTTGGGACCTCATCTGAATCATTATTGACTATAAACTTAAGCAATCTAACACTCATTTCCTTATTCATAAACTACAGTACACTTTGTTATGTTGAAGCATGTTGGCAAGTTGTACAATCGTACATATTTGTTTCCTGGGAAGAAAATGTATTTCTCCTTTGTACGTCATGAAATCCACAAACTCACGGGGAGTATCCTCACCTGGATATATTTTTACATTTTTTTATTTTCAAAACTTTGTTTAACCAATTTAGTTTTTAATGATAAGATACCAATTTCTACAAGATTTGTTTAGCATTAGTTTCAAACTTATATTTTAAATATGATTATAAAACAAAATGCTCTAATCAAGCTTACCCTTTCTCTTGGGGGGGGGGGGGGGGGGGGATCAAATTGACTCCCCCCCCCACCATATTCTGGTTTCCATCTAACACAGCAGGGATAGGGTTAAGTAAATTCAAAGAATTGCAATGTAGAAAAGTGTTATGTTTTGTATTCACGCATATTTCATTAATTATCAAGAAATTTAACTGGATGCAGGGAGTTTTATTCTAAGATCATGAGATTTTCATAAAGTTTTTTTTAGTTTTCTAATTCTTTTTGGGTAACTCTGCGTTTATAAAATCTACTTAAAAATATATTTTTCTTATCATAGTGTCTGTTTGTTTTTATCCAAACGGCTGAACCGATTGGGCTCAAATTTTGTGTGGGACCCAAGGAAAGGTTTATGAATGATTAAAATGTCAAAAATTAGCCTCCAACAAATTCGATTTTCATTAGATTTAAAAAATTCACGAATTTATTTTTATAAAATCCGCAAACTTGTTTTTGTTTTAAAATCTATACAAAAAGAAAACGTTCACAATAAAAATAGAACATGGGCCTAGTATACACATACTTACTTGACATCTTTCCACATAGAGCCATGTTAACCCTAAAGAAGGCTGAAGTAAACTGAAGACAATGAAGAAGTCTTTCGAAAAAATAAACTCTGCGCCAAAGAAATCGTTGTAAATTGCGCACCAATGATAAGAGATTTGATTATCAAAATATCAAAAATAACAAATTATATGTTAATATATTAACAGTAAATTTATACAAATTAAATGTTGCGCATGGATTCATTAAAATAGTTTGATTATATTTTTACAAATAGGAACTCATTACTCGACTCGACGTAAACTTTCTCATTCAATTTCAACTTTGCAACCTAGTGAAGTAAAATTACGGTTTTCTTACTTTTAGAAAAACAGTAAGAAGTATCAAATGTCTAAAGATTATAAAAATTTACAACTTTTTCTTATACTCAGTCACAGCTATCGAGTCCTAGGGTTTCCAGCGAAAGCAAACTTTCGCGTAAAAATGCTAACTAAATCGAAATTAAGATTTGATATATAATTTACAATATTTATGCTATATAATTTGATAACACAAACAATAAAAAAAATGTATTTTAAACTTACATTTTTTCCAGATAAGACACAATTTTTGTTCTTCAATTAACGTGCAATTTATTGTAATGATACTGTGTACTAAATAGATATTCATATATAGGTCAGATATATCTAAAAACATATTTCCTAATAAATATAGATACACACAGTTGATTATTGATTTTATAAACTAGTCATCTCTGTTTCTTTGTCTAATCATAACTCCTGGACCGTTTAGGCTCAAATTTTGATACGGGAAGGAACTCTGAAGAAGTTATTTGATCTTTTTTCATACAAGGCGGTTCGCGCGTCATTTTTATTAAATAATCGTAGAGTTTTTTCAAGTGACTTTTTCAATTCACGAGTTATATATTTTTACAATGGTGCTCTTTCCATTTTCAGATTTTAACACATTTTTAGACTTTAAAACATTTTATTACAATGGATTAATTAAACCATTTTAAAGCAAGAAAAAGACCAATATATATTCTACATTTATTAATCAGATAAAGGGCCTTTTAGGGTACTGTTGGGAATTGGTTATTCCCTTTTTTTAAATGATAGCTCACTTGAATTACGCTCAAAAGTCCCTTCAATGGATACTTTGATATTTCAAACCTATCTATCTATCTATCTATCTATCTATCTATCTATCTATCTATCTATCTATCTATCTATCTATCTATCTATCTATCTATCTATCTATCTGTATTTATATCTATCTATCCATCTATCTATCTATCTATATATCTATCTAGCTATCTAGCTATACATCTATCTATCTATCTGAATGAGTGTATCTGTATGGTAGAGAAGCCGCCTTGTAATTAGTACATTAGTAACAACAGCCAATTTCTGAATATCATTTCTATACTTACAAGAATTACTCTGGGTGAATATAAGATACTTCGTTAATATACTTCAGGGGGTGTCTTAAAAATCATTTATAATCTAAAAAAATGGCTTTCTTAAACTTTACGGGCAACGCCCCTGGCATTTCTGCTAATGTTATAAAAAATTATAAACTTTTGGTCTAATTTAGACTTAAATGGTTATATCCAAAAAAAGTAAGTCCCTTGTTTTAAATTAATTCAGAACCAAACATTTACAAAAAATATGTAAATGCGTGTTATATATGTACAACAACAACAACCCTTGGATTCTTTATCAGAGAATATACATTCTTATCAGTGCTCTACTGTAAACAGAAGATTAGGTATATTACTTTAGTCCTACGTAAGAGATATTTCAGTAACTGTGAAAATTAATATTGATATAGAAATCATAATTTTGCAATAAATGCCTTACTCCAATAGTTCTTTTAAGTCTATATCAATCCAGATACAACCCCTGTATTCTTCAGTATGTATCAATCCAGATACAAACCTGGTATTCTCCAGTATGTATCAATTCGAGATATAACTCTCTCTGTATTTTCAAGTATGTATCAATCCAGATACAACCCTCTGTATTCTCAAGTATGTATCAATCCTGATACAACTCTTTGTATTCTCAAGCATGTATCAATCCAGATACAACTCTCTGTATTCTCAAGCATATATTAATTCAGATAAAAATCTCTCAAACCCTATGAACTCTAACAAGAGCTAATACGTCCGAACTTAATAAAACAGTATTTATATTCAACTGACTTTATTTTGGTATAATGTACAGATCAAGATTAAACTGACCAATAATACAGTCAGGTGATTATAACTTAAAATTCAGTGATGGTGATGGACCAAACCTTTGTAGAGTAAAAAAGTAGATGTTAGTTCCACATTGATTATAACTGGATGTATATCTTTTATAGGTTTAGGTTTCCAAGATATATTGATTATTACTATATTTATTACATACATCCTAAAGTAATGAATTAATGATATGTTTGATATAGAATATACAAGTACGTTTAAAAGTAGCTTGATCCATGCAGGTACAGTACAACGTCTAATGTATATGTATATTATACCGTAATGTTTATTTACATGTAAATTTAGGTTTCCAATATATATTGATTATTACTATATTTATTTTTAGATTTTAAATGACGAGACTTCAAGATATATTTCTAGAAAGCTGTCTTGAAGGTGATTTCAACACTGTCGCAAGGTGAAGGACATTTTTTTCAACTTTTTAATTCCAAACATTTTTACGATGAAAGACAACAAAATGTTGAAACTTTTGATATCTATGTAATAAAGATCTTTGCTCATATATGTATAAATATAAAATTATATATTAAAAGAATTAGCTCCAAATTAAAACATTTTAATATATTTCAGAATTATACTAAACATATGAATGTTGTTTCATGCCTTACAATATATATAAGTATTCAAAACATGTTTTGAAGTTTTATTGCATATATATATATATATATATATATTTATGTGAGCTATAGCTGACCAAACGGCTGGACCAAGCTGACATTTTTTTAGGGAACCCATATTTGTAGCCCCAACTAAGCTTAAAACTCAAATTTTTTTTCTCAGAAATAAAAATCTTTATTTTCTATGTTTTTAAAATTCAACGGGCAACGCCGGTACTTTAGCTAATATGCTAATCAGAAATCTTTTGTCCCATTGATTAAAATATTCAGTTTTAATAACACAAATCTTATTTTAGGATAATTCGACGGAATAGGAGAAGTTGGGTTGGGAGGTCGTCTTTTGATATAAATGTTCTAGATAAAAATAGGTGAATAAACTATAATAATACTAATCTTATTCAACCAGCAAACCCTAAATTTATAAAGATGCATGTCTGATTCCCAATGGTACCCAAACATGTTAAAAACAATTTGATTTTAGACACTCTTTTTGGTGTTTATAGTGTTTCCTTATTTCTCTCTTAACGTGTTTATACAGCAGAGTCAATATTGGAAGTTGTATAACTAATAAAGGTTTAAAGGAAACTATTGTAAATGGAACAAGCCAATCTGAAAATGAAGGGTCCGCAGTTTTGAGTTTTTGGAAAAGCGTTAGTTTCGGTTTGTTAACGTGGGAAATCATCTTAAAACGAAACGATCGTTTTGAAAACGATAATTTTTGAAATTAATCGTTTTTGAAAGGGAGGAAAGTTATGATAGTTTTTAAGAAAAACGAAACGATCGTTTTAAAAAACGGGAAAATGATCGTTTTGAAATAAAAACGAATGTTTGAGATGTAAAATATTGTTTTGAAATCAATCGTTTTAGGTTAAAAACGCTCGTTTTTATAATACAAATGATAGTTTTGAAAATCATCGTTTTGGAATAAAACGACAAATTTTGAATCGTACAAACCTTGCTTTGAACGAGAAAATTTGCTTCAATAAAATTTACACAAAATAAGATCGTTTTTACTTCAAAACTATACTTTTTTTCCGTTAGTTTTTTTGTTTTCTAAAGCTTAAAACTTACACTAAAAACGAATGTTAGTCAGGTTTAAAAAATCCAAAACGAAACTAAAATTCATGTTTTTCCGATCGTTTTTGAAACCGATGCCCATCCCTACCCTTGACTGCCTTTTCATTCCCTTTAACGTCCAACATATTTCTAGACGAACTGGATTAATATTAAGTTGTATAAGTGGATCAGCCGATGTGGTTAACTTACTCACGTCCAGGTAAAAAAAGAGATTTTTTCGAAATTGTTATAATATAATAGTTTTAATAGTTTTTAAAAAGTCATTTAATGAACTAAAATTGCACAGAATGTATAAGAAAATATAATTCTAATATCTAGAAAAATTTAAAGTATCTAAACTCTGCTATAATTTATGTCGGAGGTGTCTCTAAACTCTGCTGATACTTAGATCGGAGGTGTCTCTAAACTCTGCTGATATTTATATCGGAGGTGTATCTAAACTCTGCTGATATTTAGATCGGAGGTGTCTCTAAACTCTGCTGATATTTAGATCGGAGGTGTCTCTAAACTCTGCTGATATTTATCGGAGGTGTCTCTAAACTCTGCTGATATTTATATCGGAGGTATCTCTAATCTCTGCTGATATTTAGATCTGAGGTGTCTCTAAACTCTGCTGATATTTATTGGAGGTGTATTTAAACTCTGCTGATATTTATTGGAGGTGTCTCTAATCTCTGCTGATATTTAGATCGGAGATGTCTCTAAACTCTACTGATACTTATTGGAGGTGTCTTTAAACTCTGCTGATATTTATTGGAGGTGTCTCTAATCTCTGCTGATAATCGGAGGTGTCTCTAAACTCTGCTGATATTTATATCGGAGGTGTCTCTAATCTCTGCTGATATTTAGATCTGAGGTGTCTCTAAACTCTGCTGATATTTAGATAGGAGGTGTCTCTTAACTCTTTTGATATTTAGATCGGAGGTGTCTTTAAACTCTGCTGATATTTAGATCGGAGGTGTCTCTAAACTCTGCTGATATTTAGATTGGAGGTGTCTCTAAACTCTGCTGATATTTATTGGAGGTGTCTTTAAATTCTGCCGATATTTATTGGAGGTGTCTCTAATCTCTGCTGATATTTAGATCGGAGGTGTCTCTAAACTCTGCTGATATTTATTGGAGGTGTCTCTAAATTCTGCTGATATTTATTGGAAGTGTCTCTAATCTCTGCTGATACTTACATCGGAGGTGTCTTTAAACTCTGCTGATAATTAGATCAGAGGTGTCTCTAAACTCTGCTGAGACTTAGCTTGGATGTGTCTCTAAAATCTGCTGATATTTAGATCGTAGGTGTCTCTAAACTTTGCTGATACTTAGATCAGAGGTGTCTCTAAACTCTGCTGAAACTTAGATCGGAGGTGTCTCTAAACTCTGCTCATACTTAGATCGGAGGTATCTCTAATCTCTGCTGATACTTAGATCGGAGGTGTCTCTAAACTCTGCTGATACCTAGATCGAAGGTGTCTTTAATCTCTGCTGATACTTAAATCGGAGGTGTCTCTAAACTTTGCTGATATTTAGATCGGAGGTGTCTTTAAACTCTGCTAATATTTAGATCGGAGGTGTCTCTAAACTCTGCTGATATTTAGATCGGAGGTGTCTCTAAACTCTGCTGATATTTATTGGAGGTGTCTTTAAACTCTGCCGATATTTATTGGAGGTGTCTCTAAACTCTGCTGATATTTATTGGAGGTGTCTTTAAACTCTGCTGATATTTATTGGTGTTGTCTCTAATCTCTGCTGATATTCAGATCGGAGGTGTCTCTAAACTCTGCTGATATTTATATCGGAGGTGTCTCTAAACTCTGCTCATATTTATATCGGAGGTGTCTCTAAACTCTGCTGATATTTATCGGAGGTGTCTCTAAACTCTGCTGATATTTATTGGAGATGTCTCTAAACTCTGCTGATATTTATATCGGAGGTGTCTCTAAACTCTGCTGATATTTAGATCGGAGGTGTCTCTAATCTCTGCTGATATTTATATCGGAGGTATCTCTAATCTCTGCTGATATTTATATCGGAGGTGTCTCTAAACTCTGCTGATATTTATTGGAGATGTCTCTAAACTCTGCTGATATTTATATCGGAGGTGTCTCTAAACTTTGCTGATATTTAGATCGGAGGTGTCTCTAATCCCTGCTGATATTTAGATGGGAGGTGTCTCTAAACTCTGCTGATATTTAGATCGGAGGTGTTTCTAAACTCTGCTGATATTTATATCGGAGGTGTCTCTAATCTCTGCTGATATTTAGATTGGAGGTGTCTCTAAACTCTGCTGATATTTACATCGGAGGTGTCTCTAAACTCTGCTGATATTTATCGGAGGTGTCTCTAAACTCTGCTTATATTTAGATCGGAGGTGTCTCTAAACTCTGCTTCGAAGGTGTCTTTAATCTCTGCTTATATTTATATCGGAGGTGTCTCTAAACTCTGCTTATATTTATATCGGAGGTGTCTCTAAACTCTGCTCATATTTATATCGGAGGTGTCTCTAAACTCTGCTGATATTTAGATCGGAGGTGTCTCTAAACTCTGCTGATATTTAGATCGGAGGTGTCTCTAAACTCTGCTGATGTTTATATCGGAGGTGTCTTTAAACTCTGCTGATATTTAGATCGGAGGTGTCTTTGAACTCTGCTGATGTTTTCGGAGGAACTGCTCTCATGTATGCATCTAAACTTGAAAACCCAGAATGCTTGGAAATATTATTGGGTAAATATTATTAAAACATTTATTTTGGAGGAGTTATATTTAGATTATAAAAATCTAAAACAAATAAAAAATTCTAAAATCATTTATCATTTATGTAGATGCTGAACAGTGAAAACCCTAAACAAACTACATTGTTGAAAACTAGTTATGAATAATAACGCCTTACCCATGCAATAAGTCATGAATTGATTCATTGAAACCCCAAATTATAAAATACAATGCCTAGGTAAAAAAAGTAAGTTTTTAACTTTCATATTTTTGTAATTTTGCATTAATGTTTTGAGCATAGCAGCTTCATTGTATATAGTTCGATATAGTTCGTGTTGTACATAGAAAAGTCGACACAGCCCCCGTAGTTTCACACGCCAGATAATACGTCCGCCATAAAATGCGTAGAACCCTCAATAGATCATCTCCCTTTTATCAAACCGTACACTCAGTATCGATTTATTTTTAATATGTTTTCATGTAAACTGTAAATATATAATGTTTCGTATAGTTCATGTTATTATTTAGAACGGTTAAGCGCTCATTTCATAAATTAATTTAATATTCACGTTTAACATTTTGTTTTTTTCAGCACATCGTGATGTTGATCCTGATGCTGAAGATCTAGATGGGAAAACTGCCGAGGACTATGCTAGGTAACCGAACTCACAGTCATCCATAGATTGCTATCTTTTGCGCGAAAATTTTCGAGAATTTTGTTAATTTTTGTAAAACACGAAAACTTAGAGTGGTTTACAGTTTTAAAATGTACATGTCTGGGAGATACAAAGGATTTACATTTGATGCAACTTTTTATTTCTGTCTGGATCCAGGTGAACTAACCTCCTTATCATATACTAGTAATAGACATTATTAGTAATTTTCCAGAAAGAACTTATTATTAGCATTAGTTGAATTCGAAAGAAAGTGCATCAGGATTTTGCTTCACCTCTAACTGTGAAGTAAAATATACATATTTTGAAATTTTGGTAAATTACTTCCACCATTCGCTATTTATTTGTTTCGTTAGCGTTGCACAAATTTATCAAAAGAATTTAGATTAATATATATTTTATATGTTTTTAAAACCATATATTATATAAGGTAAAACTTTCTTTGTTTTGTCCTTTTTTGCATGATATGCATTTAATTCAAAGTAGAATAAGTTGCAGCACATACTTCAAATCTTTTTTAACTGTTACCATACACAAAAATGATTTCCCCATTCATCTATATTTGAATTTTGATTGGGTGTCTGTCTGTTTGTTTGTATCCAATAAACGTCAAAACGGCTGAACCGATCGGACCCAAATCAGGGAAGGTTCATGTAAATAATCAAAATTTCAAAATTTGTGTTTAAAAGTTTTTTATTTTTGTAAAATTTGAAAATGCGCAAAAAAATATTGTGAAATCGGCAAACTTTTTTTGTTATTGTTTTATACTGTAAAAAGAGAAGATGCTCACAGATAAAGCCACAAGTAAAAATAAAAAAAAAGATGATGGACGCGAAGCGCCCAAAAGCCTAGTCTATATTTAAATTTTGATTGTCTGTCTGTCTGTGTCCAATAAACGTCAAAATAGTTAATAGGGCCCAATTTTTGTGAGGAAACTCACATGACCCAAGGGAAGGTTTATAAAGCCTAAAAAAAGAAAAATTCTGGAGAAAATGTCAAAATAAAAAAATTTAATATTCTAATGTTCACAGAAAAATCCGCAGATTCCGGAAAAAATGACAGCTTGAAAAAAATCATTCTAACGCTAAAATTGTTGCAAGATTTGCTAATTTCATTTATTCAAAACCTATAAATCATAATCATATTTTTTATCAGGGAATGTGACAGAGGAGACAATATTGTGGTTCTTCGGTAGGCCATTTACACATTTATTAAAGACCGTTTTCGTTTACATTAAATAACTTTGCTGCAAGTTGCCTATTATAATAGACAAACAACGAGATAGTAAATCTAAAATTAATGCGTAACATTTTATATATCTTTATTATGTGTACTCAAATTGTATTTGAAAAGCTGAAAAAGTTGAAAATAATCGTTATTTTTTAATCGCATAAAAATAACATCTTTTTAATTGTAACTAAACATATCAAGAGTTGAAATATTGATAATCTGCATTATTGTAATACATTGCATTTTAGGCACTTATTCTATTAAAAAATAACATGCAGACTTATTCTATGAGACAAAATTAGACGTTCCACATTTATTTTTATGATAACTTATCATCAAAGATTAAAGATTTATCTAGTTTTAATTTTGATGTTTTTCTGCTTTTAAAGCAAAGATTTGTCAAAATTATGATGATATCTTTAATTGATATTTACAGTACACTGTGATTTAAACATATCAAGCTCTCAACTCAAAGCTAAAATCTATGAGAATGTTTCCAATAACTTCTTAAAAACCAAAGATAACAATACTAACTCTATATAGTGCTGAAATGCACATGTAAAGAGCTACAAAAAAATCACAAGTGAGTTTTAGCGGTAAAACCAATGCAACAATTCAAAGTCGACCTTGTCTTAAAAATCGATGAGACTTTGTATAAGCAGGCTGATTCTTTGTAAGAGTACAGAGTGTCCCATATAATATTAGATTATCTACAATTTTTAACGCCAAAATACGCACTTAATACTCGAAAAATCTAGCATTTTCAAAAAAAAAATTCTATTATATATAGATTATATAAATAAAAGGGAGGCCCGAGCAGAGCGTATCCGAGGATCCTGGTTGGTGGATCCAGTAGAAGCTGCAGACTCAGATACTGATCAAGGAACAGAGGTTGAGACATATGATGAGAGTGTGCAGAACGGGATTAGTCTTGTGTCTAGGAGTCTATGTTATTCTAATTCAGAACCTGCCGATCCAATAACAACACAATTAGGTGTTTTTTTACGAAATCATTAATGCCCTTGTCATTTTAAGTTACAGGGTGTCCCATGAAGCATGACAGTTAGTGAATAGTTTTGAATGTCTTCTTCCATATGCTGTACTAGATATTAAAGACTTTTTGCAGCTTATTTAGTTTAGAAAAAACTTTATTTAAATATATTTTACTTAGCAATCAATTATGATGCCATAAAATATTTATTATTATTCTCTTTGGCAACAAAAAAAATGACATATTATGGAAGAAGCCATTTTAAACTATTCACCAACTGTCATGTATTGTGGGACACCCTCCTGTACCTCCCATATGTCCAATTTACATTAGTACCTTTCAGATCTTTATCTTAATAATAACTGAATTTTATCTCTGCTGATTTAGCTTGAAAAGTGTTTAATTTTTTACAATTTTCTCCTTTGTATCTATAAAATAAGAAATGCGCTCATGAATGTAAAGAATGTGTAGAGCAAACTAAAATTGGATATAATCAATTTAAAATAAACGCTGATGGATAGATCATCTATTCTTGATCAGACAACGCTTCTTTAAAGGGTACCGTTGTGAATCGAAAATGGATAGTCACTTGAAATTCAGCATAAAGTAAAGACATAATCATTTCACTGTTTTCTAGTTACTACTGTATGACATCCATTTAAAAAAATATATTTAACCGTTTCCCAAGAGTAATTGAATTTTAATTGTAGAATCCCGCTGTATTGAAAACTTTAATCATGAAAAAGAAAAGTTGGAAGAAAATCTAAAAGATCTAAGGTGATTTAATTAATATCCAGAAGTAGTTGATCTACGTAGATTAAGCTAAACCACTTCTCTTGAACTTGAGCCTGGTAGAAACATGTGGTCCGGTCATAGAGCTACTTAATTTAACTTTTTCATGCTGTTCCTTAAAATGGACGTCTTAACTATTTATCTCATTATTTTTACAAAAACAATTCTTAAATTTTTTTCTTCTATTTTATAGGCTCAAATTTGAATCAGATTTGCAAACTATTGATTCGGAGTTGTCTGAAGAGAAAAGAAGTTTAGAGGAAAAGTATTTAGCCGAAGTTGTCCAAGCTGAAGAGAAAGCCAAGAAGCAAAAAGAAGATTTACAAGCAAAATTTAGGAAAATAACAGTTTGTCATTTAACTGGGCTTGATTTTTTTTTATTAATTTAACATTGAATTAATCATCTCCAAGATTCTATTTTTTTTTATTGGCGGATTTATAAAAAGAAAAATATATGAATAAAGCAAAAATTGTCCTTACCAATATAAATTCGAACATGCATCCAACAGTGAATGATGCAGATTTGATTTTGTTTAAACAATGCTAAAATTGCAAGACATATTTAATTATTATAAAAACCGTTTTTTTTTGGCTGTAGTGCTACAAAGAAATCATTAGAGGTGAACTTTACAAACACATTAATAAACAAAATTTTGGTCTGTTTTCAAAAGCGAATTATCTGTTGGTATTTAGGTTGGTTTACAAAAGTTGAATATATGCCTTGATAAATTTGACTGGAACAAGTTTTTGAGGATTTCTAATTCAGGTAGTAATGAGATATTAAAGAGAAAAAATAGAATAATTCTAAATTTTAAATTTAGTTTCTGAGTTTGAATGTCCTGTTTGCATGGAAGAAATGAAACCTCCTGTTAAGTAAGAAAAAGTTTATTTATGTCTTTGTCTAGCACTGAAATTCAGGCAAAAGTAATTTATTCGGAAATACTAGAACGAAGTCACGGTCTTTAAACACAATTTTGGCTATGATATTAAATCCTTTGACATAATACATGACAGGATTTCAAATAAAAAGGAGTTATGAAGTTATCATAACCCTATTCCTGCTGGGGGGGGGGGGTCTATTTATTAAAATCAATTTATTGAAATTTTCTGACTTTTCCTAAATACCCATAGCCCTCCTTTTAGATCCAAAACCGGGTTTTTATACTAACTGCCTGAGTCCTAAGGCACACTACCTTAATGACTACTTTTTTCTTTAACAGACTAAATCTTTGTTTTGACCCACTTTCAACTGTCATATTTTTATAACTTTTAGCTTTTTGGAAAGCCTATAACGTAAGGAAACGGATTACACAAGTTTTGCAAAGAAATTTTTGCAAAATATGTTGTTACAACCCGTCAAAAGAAATTTGTACATTTTTAGTTTTTCTTAGTTACACATCAGGTTATTAAAAACTTTGCAAAGCCTTTTGCATATTTGGAATGGCATGACCAAGGGCTTTTATTATATTTTATCATTTTTTGGACTTTTTGCAAACATTTTTACTATATAACTGGATTTTGCAAAAAATTCAAACGTTTGCCAATTTTCAATGTTTTTGTCAGATTCTGAAAGTAGAGCATAAGAGCTTTCCAATGATGTATCATTTGTCATATTTGGACATCAAACATGGGATTAAATTTAGTGGGGGGGGGGAGGAAGGGGGCAAAATTGACCCCCCCCCCCCAATATATCCTGGTTTGCAAGCACCCCAACAGGAATAGGGTTAATGTGAATGAATTTAAATGACAAAGCTTGAAGAAACGATCATAGACAAGACAATAATTGTGGCCGGTGCAGCTACCTTATATTTAATTTGGTTTATTTGTTCTTTTTGGGCAAGGTTATAATGCAAGGAAAGTTAATTGCAGTTGCGAATACTCTGCGCACATATTGAAACCAACTCTCTCTGGGTTGAATATTTTGATTATTTACATAATAGTTTCCTATGATCAGAATATGTCATTGATTTTTTAAGTGAAAGATGGATCCCATGTCAGGCTTTGACATCCGTCTTGTGTTTACATTACCGCCCAGAGACAGTACACTGCAGTACAAAAGATGCGTACACCTCTAAAATAACTTTCCTTGCATTATAACCTTGGTTTTGTGCTTCGTTCTAGATGGTTTTAAAGCTTTAAAATGTTAGATATCTTAGATTTAAAAAAAACATAAAACAAATAAAAAACCAATGGTCATAAATAAAGCTCATGTAAGTGCTTTCTATCCTTACAAAATATCAAACCTTGTTATGCCATATTTCTAAATTGAAGGATTTGGCAATGTGTTGATGGACATCCTATCTGTGATATATGCAGAAGAATGCCACAAGTTACCCAATGTCCCGTATGCAGACAGGTATCAGATCCGGATCTTATTTTTTGGGTCCCAGGATCCGTATCCGGGTCCTCTAAAACCACAAAATTTCGGACAAAATAAATTAAATTCATTTTTCTTGCTAACAAAACAATAAAGAAACTATCACAATTAAACACTTTTCAGGCAAGAAAAATGACTTTATTCTCCAAATAAGGTCACTAAAAATTTCAACGACAATTTATTTAATGTTTTCCCTAGTTTAGCAAAAATAAAGAGAGCTTCGCTCTCAACTTTTTTAGTCAACAATGTCATAAACGTAGTAAAAAATCTTTTTTTAAAATTATTTTTTGCTTTACTGATTTATTTGTATGTTCAGGATATTATCGGCAGAAACATCTTGGCAGAAAAAATTGCACTCAGCATTTTCTCATAATTTGCACAAATTCAACAAAATATGTAATTTCCACATTATACCGTGTAACATTGTCATGAATATATCTGTTTATTTTCTCATAATTTGCACAAATTCAACAAAATATGTAATTTCCGCATTATACCGTGTAACATTGTCATGAATATATCTGTTTATTGATCACGATAGTCCTCATGTATTATTTGTATTATTTTAATAAAAGTTGATTAATGTTTGACTTAATAAATACTATAAATTCTGTAAGCTACATTTTCTTGATTTAATCAGCTTAATCTAAAATAATTGCAATTTCCCAATTTTCGCAAAAAAAATTTTGAATAGTTTTGAATTTTTTCTTTTTGCATGGTATTTTCTCTTTTATTTAAAATTTGTGCTTTGCATACAATTAAAAAGGTTTTATAAACATATACAAATTATAATTCTTAAATAAAGATTTATAGAAAATTAGAGTTTGTGGCAAGTCTTGAGGTCCATAAAAGGTTAAAGCATTCTAAATGACATTTTTTTTGTTTAAAATATTATTATTTACATTATATAAAAGGTGCTCTTTCTAAAAACGAAAATATATATTGTATACAATTGCATGAAGCCAAGAATGTTAGAAAAAAAAGACTTAAATTCCCTAAAGGTCTCTTTGCAGTCCCATCCTTTGTGGGTAATCTGGAATATGCAAAGGCAGCTAAAGGGGTGTCTGGGACCCCAGCAGGAATAGGGTTAAAACACTCAGAAAACGTTATTCTCATAAAACCCTACTAGAAATGTTCGTTAAGAAAAACGTTATAAGCTCTGTCATATATAATATTAGGTTTAATCTACAGAATGGATTACAAATTTTCTTTTTTAAATTGTTACTAAAAATCCTTTGAAATGGACAATATGCTCGCAAAAATATACAATATACAATATACAATATTTGTCTGATGTACAATTACCGCGTATACAATAAGCTTTTCTGAATATTTCATATACAAATGGAATACCGTCTGCAAAGCATGTATAATCATATGGTAGGATCTCCCTTCCATTTCTTACTCCCTGGTTAGATCGGACTCCAACTATTTCATGAATTTGTATTCTATGGACAGAATATCCTTTTTAACTTTATAAGTTGAAAATAATGATTTAATCTTGTATTCACATTGTCATCCTGGTCACAATATGCCACCGTTCAAATTTCTGGCGCTCCGTCGCTCCTTCGAAATGTTACAAACTCTTAAAGGAACTGTGAACGTAATGTTAAAGGAACTGTAAATGAAATGTTTGAATCACAACGAAACCTTTGAAAGCGTTGTCTGATCATGAAGTGAATAGAGTTGTCAATATCTCAGAAGATAGACAAAAATATTAAACACTGTTTAAGCATGAAAATTGTCAGTAGCTTCCACATTATAGATCAGATAAAGGATTTAAAGGAGTGCACCTCTAAATCAGCAACTTAGTTTTTGTATTTTGCAGTAAAACATTGAATTATTTACATCGACATTTCAATCTGTGCAAGTTGTTGACCAACTGTTATAAATTCTATGATATTTGGAATAATTCATGAAAAAAGTCTATTCTATATTGAAACCAACCCATATGTTGCTTAAACTAATAATCACTACCTTTCAGACCTAGTTCACTTTACAATATTAATAAATACATATGCCGACATCTTTTTTAATATATCATCTATAGGCGGAACCCAGTTTACTCTGTCATATCGTCTTTTTACCATTGAGCAGGGAGTGGGGGAAACAGACACCCAGACAGATAAGCCAAATTTATATATAGATATAATCCCGAAACCGGTCTGCGTTCTTGTACTACTTTTGCTATAAAATATATGTTTTTCTTCCGAAATACTCGCTGTAAAAAAGACGACATCTAAATATATTGCGAGTTTACATGATCCAATCAAGAATAAATAAGTGAAGAGGAAAAATAATTATAAATTTAAATCATTAAAAACCAATGCAAGCTCCAATTTATATAATGTTTGTAAATGAAAAGATTATTATGAATATATTCATTTTGTCCATTCTCAACATGAAACACAAGACAAATTCATTTTTAGAGGAGTATTGTGACAAAAGCCAGTCAACCCTCCCCCCCTGACCCCCTAAAATACCCCACCGGGGGGGGGGGGGGTTATAACTGTAAATTCCATCATTTACCATTTTTACCAGATTCACCATATTTTTTCATTCGCCAATTTAAGAAAATACTTCTATAAATAACTTAAAAGTACTGTAATGTAATGGTACCCTTATACCTTTATCTGTCTGATTCACAACGGAATTTGATCAATGATCAGGGATGCAGGATTGACCCTTGTTATTATTTAAAAAATGTTTTATTTTCAATTGATGTTTCTTTTAAGATTAAATTTCAGAAATTATCACTTTTAAAAAATGTTTTATTTTCATTTGATTTTTATCTTAAAATCAAATTTCAGGAATTATAACTTTTTAAAAATGTTTTATTTTTAATTGTTGTTTCCCTTAAAATTAAATTTAAGAAATTATCACTTTTAAAAAAACGACATGCCAAATTAAATATGATCTAATTTAAAGTGAATATTTTTCCACTCATATTATTTTATGATGTAGAAATCTGCTATAAATTTTTTTTTTATATTTTTGATGATGTTCCTTTTTGGCAGCCATCTTTAAAGAGCGGCCATTTTGCCCTGTTTGGCTGGTGAATTAACTTGATTTAGGTTGAATGCCTGAATTTTGATTGGATTGGTTGAGTGGCTAAGATATGCATAAGTTGCTGCATATATTATCATGCAACCCTGGCTTAAGCCGCCAACTAGGCATATATATTCAGTATTCACTGCCTGTCTACCTAGCCCTCTTTCTCTATATTAGATTGTCTATCTCAAGGTACTAATGTAAGGAAAGTTATTTTAGAGGTGTACATATTTTTTGTACTGCAGTGTACTGTCTTTGGGCGGAAAAGTAAACACAAGACGGATGTCACAGCCTGAAATGGAATCCATTTTCACAAATATAATCAATGAAATATTCTGGTTATAGGAAACTATTATGTGAATTTTGAAAATTATCAAAATCTAATGCTTTAGACTTCCACGGATACTAAACGAACACTGATGCATCTGTTCTTGTTTACAAATTCCGCCCAGAGAGAACTGGTTTCAATATGTACGCAGAGTATACGCGACCACAATAAACTTTCCTTGCATTAGTACCTTGGTCTATCTCAAAGTTTTATTCTTGTGTTCATTTCTTCTACAAATATTGCCAATGGTATTGTCGTATTTACAACGGATATCTAGGTAAGATATGTTCTTTAATGTTGTGGAAACAAATCAGTTTATGTTACAAAATTCTGACATTTTATTTAAAAAAATAATAGGATATACCCATTCCAATTTTTTTCTGCCTTCCTAGCTGCCCCCTGCCTACCTCCTGCCTGCCTAGCTTGCACCTACCTGCCTTCTGCCTGCCTAGCTGCCCCCTGCCGTACCTTCTGCCTACCTAGCTGCCCCTGCCGTACCTTCTGCCTGCCTATCTATCTAGATATTAATAAACACTGTGCCTGTTATATTGTTTGTAATTATACGGCACCTGGTTTAATAAATATGTTTTGCACGTGACAAAGATAGAACACAGCGGACATCTTGTTTTCTCTTTTTCCTTTATTCCCAGTTATGATAAATGTCACATCAGTCAGATAGACTCTATTTAGAATTAAACGTAAATACATATTTAAAAAATCCGATTTGAAATGTTAATTTTCATTTTTCATGAAACAAAACGTCCCCCCACCCCCACTGTATAAAATTGAAAAAAGCCCGGTGGTTTGAGATTCCACGGGCAACGTCGGACCCTTTAGCTATTTAAAAATAGTACAATTCAGACTTGATCTCAACTATGTGTTGTTCTCTTCGTGTTTTACACCACGAAGTGTATAAGCCCAGAGGGGGATCTAAGTTTTTATATAAAACCTCCCAGAAGCAACAGTTTTTGCGACTAAAGCATCTTCAAGCCGATATCATGCTCCTGCGCCCAGTGAGATGAACAGGTTGCGTGATTTAATTTCTTCGAGGTTGTGTGATTATGTGTATTTCGAGGTTGCGTGATTACAGTTATTTCGAGGTTGCGTGATTATAATTATTTCGAGATTTCGTGATTATTTGACATGAAGTTTGCGGTATTATATCTATAGCTACAGAGCGTCCCTTATCATTTTAGATTATCTTCAAGCTTTAACAGCGAAATACGCACAATTACTCCAAAGGCCAAGTAGTTTTTTGCAAAACAATGTTATTTTGTTATTAGTCCCTAAAGCCAAAATGTTCCCCTCTAGAAAATTCAAAATTTGGAAAATTATGCCAAACAAATTTTAGGTTGAACTAATTTTAGAATTTAGAATTTACCCTCAAAGGTTGTGACTCTAACGCTACTCCGACTAATGGGGGGGGGGGGGGTCACACCGTATCCCCCCCCTGTCTTTAATTTGTGATACATTTTTGACTTTTCTAACTAATACCTCTTAATTTATGATAAAAGCAAGGCTTATGTACAGGGTGTCCCAAAAACATGGGAATTCTGTAACGAATTGGATATCGTCTTTGTTATGAACTAGTATTGTAATACCTAATTTAAAAAGCCATAGTATAATTATGTCTGCTAGAGTTTATTATATGGAAAGGGTAAAAGACTGTAAAGATGTGTCTATAATGTCTCTGCAAGATGAACAGTGAAGACGGACAAGTTTGCTCTGCTTTTAGTTATCATCATTCACAAATCTGGATCAAGTTATCAACTAGCTCAATAAGGTAAAACTTAATAATTTATACATCATTAAAGGGAGTACAGGCTATGTAAGGTAGTTGAACTGTGTTCTGGAAAGATCTGTAAATCTTAAGTTAAATCGCAAATTCGGTGTTAAAAAACTCCTACTTTGGGGGTGGTTATGTTTTCAGAATTAGTTTTTATTAAATTAATAAATAACGACGACATAAAATGTAAAAAAGTTCTACAATAAACTACAGACGTCATGTATAGGAACATGTTGAGAAAATAAAAATTAATTTAATCATCGAAAATAAGTAATCTTGTTCAATTATTAGTTTCTATTATCTCATTATTCACAAAGTTTTCGCAGATTTTCTAGAATTATTTTTGAAAAGACGACATTTGAAGAATATGAAGAAATCTGCGAATAAATACAAAGAAAATTAGAAATTCAATTTAATAAAGAAAACGAAATAATCGATTTTAGCATTGATTTATTGACAAATTTCTTTTGAGAATATGTTCCTAACCATCTAATTAGATTACTGAATAAGTTTTATACTTTATTTTTCGTTGTCGTGATTTAATAATTAAAAAAAACTAATTCTAAAAACGTATTCACCCCCAAAGTAGGAGTTTTGAACGTCGAATTTGTGCTCAAACTCAGGATTTACAGATCTTTAAAAAGTTCAATATGTCTCAAATGAATCCGAAAGAAGTTTTCCACAACACTGCATACTCAGTTCAACTACCTTACATAGCCGGTCACTCCCTTTAAACACAATAGAAATTAAAGCTTTTTTGTATCATCTATAGTCAAGACAAAGTAGTTTTACCTTTTTTCTGCTTTGCTAGGAGTAAAATGAACAACAACAAAGGGAATGTATGTATAATTTCAATTTATCCTCCAACAAAGCAAAGATGTACAACAGTGCCCTTTAAACCTTTGACTGTTCATCGTGGACAGAGAACTCTCTGTTTAAACCAAGGAGGTTAAATCTCCTAAATATTATTCAAATTCCACCGTGTAAATCAGCGTTCTGTTTGACCTCTACTTAGCTGACAATCAAGGTTGTAATGCAAGGAAAGTTAATTGCTGTCGCGAATACTCTGCGTACATATTGAAACCAGTTCTCTCTGGGCGGAATTTGTAAACAAGAATAGATGCATCAGTGTTCGTTTAGTATCCGAGGAGATTAAAAGCATTACATTTTGATAATTTTGATAATTCACATAATAGTTTCCTATGACCAGAATATTTCATTGATTTTTTTTTATGTGAAAGATGGATCCAATCACCCATGTCAGGGTTCGACATCCGTATTGTGTTTACATTACCGCCCAGAGACGGTACACTGCAGTAAAAAAGATGCGTACACCTCTGAAATAACTTTCCTTGCATTAGTCCCTTGGCTGACAATAGTATTACTTGGAAATACAGAATATGTTTTGTCCAGAGATAAGAGAGTTGCAGAGATCGATTTTCAGCTAAAATGTGCGATATTTTCCACAGCATGTTCTATTGTGTACAAGAACTGTACACGACCAATCAGGAGACATCTGTATTCAGGGATATTTAAGGATCCCTTGGATATGAAACACAAAATTTAAAAAAAAAAAATGAATTTATAAATGTTATGTTTCATTTCTAAAATTGGAGTATTTCTTTAAAAATTGTAAAACTTAACCCCTGAATGGGTATTATGTTCAACAATTGGCTGTGAGATGGCACTAGGGATGTTAACGTTTTCATTTTTCAGAAAAACGATCGTTTCGTTCTGAAAACGACGACGAAAAATCAAAAACGGAACGATCGTTTTTAAAAACGATCGTTTTTTATAAAATTCGTCGTTTCGTTAACGATTGTTAACGACAAACTTCGTTAACGATTGTTAACGAACAGAGGAAACGAAACCTGAAGGGCATCTGTACCTATCATTGAGTAGTTTTTAATAAAATATCAAGGAGTTTTAACTCCCCAACAGCTGTTAAACTTCATGTAAGACGACATTCAAGAAAGTTGCATGTAATTTTTTTTCCAAAAACGACCATTTTGATAAAGTTCGTGTACGACAACCGTTGTTTAACGATCGTTAACGACAAACCTTCATTAACGTTGACCCTTCGTTAACGATCGTTAACATAATTGTCAATAATTTTTTTTCAAAAACGATCGTTTTTTGTAAAAACAATCGTATAAAAAACGGTCGCAAATCGTTTTAATAAAAACGATCGTTTTCAAAAACGATCGCTATTCGTTTTCTAAAAGTTTAATTAAATCAATTGGTTTATGATAACTAGACATATTTAGGCCAGAAATTGAAAAACAACTTAAATAAAAAGCTTCAATAATGAAGTCCTTTTCAACTTGGCCTGGATCTTATTGGCCTTGTTTATGCAAGCTGGTAATATTTCATTTCCCAAAATCTTTAATTCTAAAATTTCAGATTCAAAAGATAAAACTTTTCTTTTTAGGTGCTTTATCCTTTAAACCAGACATTGGATTTCTGCTTGCAGCTAAATCTATCTTGAACCAAAAAATTGCACCAGCTCTAGCTTTACACCAAGTAAAGCAGACTCCGGACATTAAGGAATTTGAATTTAAAATTCTAGGAATTAATGAAAAATTACAATATTTAAACTTTGATAACTCAAAAAAAGCCATATTGCTAATATTACTGTTAATGACCTGGCAAAGCTGCATCTTCCTTGTATTTATGGTAAAGTTCTCAAACTAAATGTTGAATTCCGCCAGACCACTTATTACTCCACCAAAAGGAAATTGATTAACACTTTGAACACTAATTACTCCACCCGAGGGCTGGTAATTAACACATAAGAGGGCTGGTATTTAACACGAGCAGGGCAGAAATTAATCCATCAAAGGGATTATAATTAACACTCAGGACACTAATTACTCCATCAGAAGACTGGTATTTAACACTCAGGTCACTAATTACTCCATCAGAAGACAGGTATTTAATACTAAAGACACTAATTACTCAACCGGAGGGATGATATTTAACACTAAAGACACTAATTACTCCATTGGAGGGATGCAATTAACACTCCACTGGAGTAATGGTAAATAACAATCAGGACACCGAATACTCCATTGTTCCATCGGTAAATGGTATAATTAACACTCAAAACACTAATTACTCCACCAGAGGGACGATGATTAACATTAAGAACACTAATTATTCCACTGGAGGGTTGGTAATAAACAGTCAGGATACTAATTACTCCACCAGAGGTTAATAATTAACGCTCAATACACTAATTACTCCATCAGAAGGATGGTAATTAACACTCTGGAACCTAATCACTCCATTTGGAGGGATGGTAAGTAAAACTCAGGACACTATAATTAATAATTAGTGTCCTGAATGTCAATTATCATACCTCCGCTTGAGTAATTAGTGTCCTGAGAGTTAATTACCATCCCTCTGAAGGAGTAATTAGTGTCTTAAGTGTTAAATACCATACACTCGCTGGAGTATTTTTTGTTTTTAGTGATAGAGTAATTAGTGTCCTTTGTGTTGAATTCTTAAACTGTTTTACAATGAAATTTTTGACAAATTTGACTGAGTATTGCATCTTGAAATATCACAAAGTCTAATGATTATTCAATTACTGACTCATTATACTAAATTCATCTTAAAATCACTTATTAACCAATAATCATTAAAATATTTCAAAATGCAATACTCAGTCAAATTTGTCAAAAATTTCATTGTAAAACAGTTTAAGAATTTAACACACAAAATATTAATCTTATGCAGAGTTGAAAAAATGGTTTGAGTTGTGCTTTATTGCGTGACGCGGCTGGATTTTTTAAAATTACACTTTAAAGGCCCTAAATATACCATGCCCGGAAGGGTCAAATGTGGTGGTACGAAAGGGGAAATAGTGGTGGCTCATGGCTGCCGAAAGAGAAAAAAGCTAATATGTGGCACGGAAGGGGAAATAGGGGTGGCTCATGACCGCCTGCACCTTCCCCCGCTACCTCAAACCTTCATATGTGCCGAAATTTGACCGACCTTTGACTCCTTTTTATTAAATCTTGATTTCTGGCCGGATTTTTTCCTTGCCGCATTTTTTGTTAAATAAAAATTGATTTAACCGACCCATAATTACAATTACATGCGAATCTGAGTTCCCAAGCTAATATAAATATAAGTTAAAATTTCTTTTTGTCGCATGATTATTGTTACTTATCCTTTGTTCTTAAAACTAATCGACAAAAGGGTAATAGATTATTTATTATATCACGAAGATCCAGTCAACCATAAAGGTTGTGCATCAATTTATAGAATAGAATCGTCTTTACAGTGTCGCAGCGCCTAGATCTTTAGGTTTAACTTGTTCACTCACTGAACTTTTTTAGAAGTCTTAGACATATATATTTCAGAACTTTACAACTACAAATAGTTTACTTAGACATATATATTTCAGAACTTTACAACTACAAATAGTTTACTTAGACATATTTATTTCAGAACTTTACAACTACAAATAGTTTACTTAGACATATATATTTTAGAACTTTACAACTACAAATAGTTTAATTTGCCAAAATGTTTAACTAAGACTTTTAATTTTTGGGAACAATATAGAATAAAATCAATTATTTAACTCTTTTTTAGTCTAAACATATACACTGTTTTATGCAAATCAATCAAGCATTTATTTATAATTTCTTAACAAACCCTGCGAGATCCAATATTTTATTATTTACATTTTCTGTTATTAAACAGTTTCATGCTACATTAAATTATGCATTATGGTTGAAAAACAAATTTTCCTAAAATTATAGGTAACATATCGTACACAATATATGTAACCTTATTGGTGTCAGATTTGGTTTTAAAATCACTATATTAGAAAAGTTTTTTGGAATACTTTCTACTCTATTTTTTTAACTAGCTGTTGATTATAGTATTTTTATACTTTTCCTGAAGGTTATTAAACAAATTTAATGCTATATTAAAATTTTAAATATGTTTGAATGTAAAGTGCACGGCATTAAAACAAAAATATGAGTTTTTGGCAAAAACTTTAATTTTATAACATCTATATCTTTTCAAAAACTATAATTTTCTAATTCCTTTATCTTTATACCCTGATGGTGTAAACCTTTCATATATCAAACTTACCATATTTTATATAACAAAATTAATGATTTAAAATCTCTAAGGTCTACGTTCTTGTGCTAAACTATTTATTAGAAAATCAGAGTTTTTGGAAAAGAGTCAATTTCTTTGGCCTGATATCTGCTTCAATTTTTGAAAATGTTTCATAATTACCAAATTTACCGATATGTATCTTAATCTTTAGCAAGGTTGAGAAATATGGCGTACTAGGATAAAGAATAATATACGTTTTGATTTTAAAAAGCATTGAAATGACATTTTAACATATTTAATAAGACTAGCACATCTGTCAAAGACAGAATGAACCCATGACTTTAAAGAGACTGTTCACGTTATCTCAAGTGACTCTACCTTTGGAAGAAGCGTGTCTCATTAAATCTGATCAAGGAGGATAGACTTATTTGATAAATCATAACTTATTCTTCTTACATATTTCAGTGATGTCAACGAATATTTAAAGTTTACAATAATCATGTTTACACACGATGATTATTTTCACAGATGGTACAGAGGATCATTGAGAGTAACTAGTCATATAATACTAATTTCAATAACTTCATGAGACCTTCCTTACAGAGATGCCAATTTCTGTTATCTTTCAATAATGAGGAAGCAAAGTGTTTAATCCTGATAATTACTCCAGTCTTTCTTATAAGCAAGAAATGTGCAAGTCACTTGTGGAGAGAAATCACAAGGTAAAAAAAATAGTTTTCAAAAACATAAACACGAAGTTTTATTTCATGATCAAAAAAGCTTTCAAGGGTACCGTTGTAAATCGGGCATGGTCATTTTGCATTGAGGGTCACAATTGAAATAAAGCTTACAACCCCTTTAAGAGAGATTTAATTCTTCTTTTCCTTCTCTCTGTTGTTTTCTCCATTTTGCTCTCCGGTTCTTAAACCATACCTATAAGAAATACATTTGTTTTCTCAAATTGAACATTTTTTTCCGAAATGCATTTTTCTTTCTCGTAAAATTAATAATAATAATGCCATACTTTTAACATTTTCGACGATACGTTTTATCAAAAAACATGCTTAATCACTAACATTGTGATAATAATATTTTAGAAAGTCCTTGCAATCACAATTATATCAAAATGTTTGGTCAGAGCAATAATTGAGATATTATTTTTTCGTTAAAATTTGAAAAGTTGAAACATACACAAATTAGCAATGCAAAAATAAAAAAAAGTTCCTAGATTCATAGAAAAGAAATTAAGTCTGCAGATTTCATAGTTTGAAATATTAAAGGAATACGACATTCGGCTAAATTATAGGGATTAGAAAATCCAAGTTTGTCGCAGCATTGGAACATTGGAACATGGAAAGTTCCGGTTTTTAACAACTTTTTAATACAAGAAAGAATAATTTATATGTTGAAGGATTCGATGATTAAGTAATAACTGAAATGATAAATATGTTATGTAATGAGTAATAATCAATGTTGTCTATTTGTGCATAATTTTTCATATTTTTGGAAACCTGTATTTTCAAAAATTAATTTAAACAAATTTAAACTACACCATTTATATATGTATTTATATCTTTGTGTGTGAATAAATCATTAAAATAATAATATGGTTCGAGAAACGTTTAAAAATTCATCTTTCGCGAAACCATTTTAATATACTGCACCTCTATTCTCTCCTCCCTGAGTCGGATCCGTTTAGCCAGTAGTTCTCTTTGTATAACATCAGGATAGTGAGTAGAACTGAAGGTAGTCTCAAGCTAAACAAACAAAACAAAATACAGAAAAAGGGGGTTAATTTTGTTCAATAAAGTTTGTTTTAATAAAGTTTGTTATATTTAACTATTCCGTTACACTCCTGTATGCCGGTCCATTAGCGCCTGATCCAATCAGGGTTCAGTCATGTGTTTGTTGTCTATTCTGAACCAATAGAAATAGTATGGAGGTAACATCTCTCTTTCTATCTATCTCATTATCCAATTAGATTTATGAATCCTTAAATCGGCGCTACCAGTAAATAGAGATATTTACTTCTACTGAAACTATGGTGGTTAAAGGATTGAAGGGGTTATTTCAAGTGGCCCTCTATACAATGATGACAATGTCCGATTCACAACGGATTCCTTGAAACATTTATCTGATCAATAATGTAAATTGTATAATTTTTTTTGTCTAAATTTAAGTTTAAATTTTCTCTCCATAGAGGATGACCTAAAATTATGCTTACAGTCCCTTTAACCTTATAACGGCGGTCTGAATCTAAGTATAACAAATATCAAAATGTGGCACATTTTTCTACATGCATTTTTCAAGGGCTTATCAAAAATATAGTTTTTAGATCTGTAGCTTTTGTCGCAAAAAAGTTATGGGCTATTTTAGATTTCTTTTTCACAGACCGGACTTTTTTTCACCCTGTACCCTACCATATAAATTTAAAAAAATATTTTTTTTAAACAAAAATTTCACGGTGATAGTGTCAAACATGAGAGTGCTAGGAAAAAAACTTCAAGGGGGCACCAAACCCCCCTCCCCATGCCTGTTTAGGGTTAACTATTAATGCATTTTGAATTCATATTGACAAGATCCCTTTATTTAAAATCATAAATACAATTAAGAATCTTAAAATTTTTAAATACTCAATAAAATACAGAAAATCCCCAAATTCAAAAGATCTCCATATCAAAGAACTGGGTTTGACACAAGCTAAAATTTTCAAATCCCTATTTCTTTGCAAACCGATTGTGTAAACCGTTGATATTTCAAACTTTAATTATTTGATCTAGCAAAATTATTTTTTAGAAGTATTAAAGGTCTGCGACATCAGGTTGCAAAGATGTTGGAATTATAAATTAGAGTGTGCAGTTGCAATAATAATTTGCTTTGAAATTTATGCATTTAATAAATCTCTGTTAGTATATAAATCCTTCACTAAAGAAATTCTTGTCTTGTTAAATCCTTATCAAACAGGATCAAAAGGGATCATGACTGAAGGATATTAAAAGGGGAAACCCTTGAAAAATCTGATTTTCCCCCTCACCTACTCTATTCAGTGCCAGAAACTTTATTAACAATGGAATTATAGTTTGTTCCTAAACATCTCTTTCAGATGAATACAGATTTTCTATTATGTTAATAGGACCGAAACATGTTAACAAATATACAGGGTCTTCGATGAAATATTGAGAGTCTCAAGAGAAATATTATTGAGGGTCCCCCAGAAATAGGGAGGGTCTCCAATGATATATGGAGGGTCTTCAATAATATAAGGAGGGTCTCCGATTAAATTAGGAGAGTCTCCGATTAAATATTGGGGTTTCCTTGGAAATTTTGTGTATCTCCGATACTTAAGGTCTCTGATGAAATATGAAGGGTCTCCACTCTCCGGTAAAATATTGAGGGTCTATGGCTGGTGAAATATAGAAGGTTTACGGCTGGTGAAATATGGAGGGTTTACGGCTGGTGAAATATGGAGGGTTTACGGCTGGTGAAATATGAATGATCTGTAATGAAATAAGGAGGATCTTCTATGAAATATGTAAGGTCTTCAATAAAATATGGAGGGTCTTCAATAAAATATGGAGGGTCTTCAATAAAATATGGAGGGTCTTCAATAAAATATGGAGGGTCTTCAATAAAATATGGAGGGTCTGATATGAAATATGGATGGTCTCCGATGAAATTTGGAAATATTGGGATTTCCATTGCAATTTGGTTCGATGTATCTTCGATAAACTATTTAGGGTCTCTGATGAAATATGAAGGGTCTCCACTCTCCAGTAAAATATTGGGGGTGTACGGCCGGTGAATTACGGAGGGTCTCCGATGTAAAATAGAGGGTCTCCGATGAAATATTGAAGATCTTCGATAAACTATATAGGGGTCCACGTTAATATATTTAGGGTCTTTTGACAATTTTTTTTCTTCATAAAACTAAAACTCATTGAGGTCAGGGGTTTCAAAGTTATTTCCAAAGAACGCAGTTTTTAGTTTGTTTGTTAAAATACAAGTAAATATTTATAAATAAAATGTTTTACCTCTTTAAGTTGATCATCTGTAAAAATAGTTCTATGTCTTCTTTTTCTTCCCTAGATCGAGAGTAAAGAAGTATAGTACAATTTACAAAATTTAAGAAAACTACTTTTACATAATTTTTTATTTGAGTAACTAATTTTTATATATTTAACTTCCAGTACATAAACAAAAATAAACATACTTTAAAAAAAGTCCTTAAAGTTGAAAAAAATTGACTAAAAAAGAGGGTAGTTCAGAAATTGATTACTCGCCATGTAATAAATATTGGGTGATACAATATTCTGTAAATTTGCAGTTCGTTGTACATTATTAATGATCGATGTTTGTAAACTTCTACGTAAAAACATTATTCATTTGAATTGTGTATATTTAAAAGTCCGTATTACGTCACAAGAACTTCCACCAATGAGAAGGCAGTATACTGGTCACGTGGTACAGACAAAGAGAATAGAATATATATTAGAGGGGAATTTACTAGAAAAAAGTTTAAAACGGCCATTTTGTTGTACTGCTTCCCAACTGCAGGTGTACTTCACATATTTATGCTATATAACCTTTTGGGCCCTGGACTATCATTTTATAGAAAATTAAATGTTAAAAGAAAACCAAATTATGAAATAGGCTGGTTTCATAATTGACCAATGATCATTTCACTTAGACTCTATGCCTTTCACTTTACAAACGATGATTTTCCGTTATAACTATAAATCAAATGATGGTTTTTATTCACCTAATTCATTAACAAGTTTAATTAACAGCTGTATAAATGTACTCTACTGCATGCACATAATTTGTGAACATTTACATGATTTGTACACTTTGAACCCCCATTCAGGCTGAAAGGGACTGAAAAAAATCATACCGAGAGATTCTTTAAATTCCTCTCTAATATATATTCTATTCTCTATGGGTACAGACGGAAATCCCGTGTGGAATATGATCTGTTCCAAAGACTTTGTTAATTATAAAGACGAGGCGTTGGAAATTTCTCCGACTATTGTGTACGCCAGTACTACAGCTGTATTTTGACGTCATTGGTTATTTTGGTTGCTTGAGAGTCGAACGATCGACATTAAAACCTTAGATATTTAACGCAATTGTGAATGTTTTGTGCTAAATTTGATCTAAAATTAATGATATTAATTTCTATTTTAAAATCTATTTAATCATTTGTTGGATATGAGGATCATCTGGTGAATTATAGCTGAATTTGTGATAAAGTTAGGCATCTATTTTGTATCAAAAATAGCCGATAATTGTTTGTGAAAATTTTCAGATGTCGTCAAATATTTTTTCTGAGGTACTATGGAATGGAATTTTAGGCGATGAAGAAGAGAGGGGACCCAAAATGTCCAATATTATAAACGGTAAATAAATTTGGTGTAAATGTCGTCTTCTGTTTAATCTCAGGCAAAGAAAAAATATTGCATAAATTAATGTGTTAATCTTATTCTTCAATTGATTTATGGGGATTTTGTTTCAAAAATAATACCATTAAAGAAAATATATCACAGAAAGTTTCTTCAAAAATGCAAATTAAAGTACGACCTTTTACTTAGAAGTCTTTTAAAATTGATTACAATAGTTTTGAGGCATTAATTATTGGAGTAGTTTAAAGACGGAAAAAATAAATACATTGGTGAAAAAAACCTAAGGAATACGAAGACGACTTATAGACTCAATTTACGATTAAATAGTTTAATGAACGTTAAAATACCTCTTTTGAGCAGATAACAAGTAGATTGTCTAATTATAAATTATGTCAGCATTTTCAAATTCCATAGTTTAATGTTTACAAATTCTTTGAATAATTCTGATAAATTCAGGTCTGTCAGTGCCAATCAAAGCTCCAACATGTATAATACAGAGCTGCAATCCAAGAGTATGAGGATCACGGTTTAGATTTCCAGCAAGAAAAAAATTGTGGCTGAAGGCCCTTCATTTAAATCAAGAGTATATCACAGTAAAAGATCCAAGAGTATGTGAAAACATTTCAAACCCTCTGATTAAATCAGGTAGAGAGAGAATTCCTTCTTAAATGAAAAAAATGAGATAATTGATTACTGTTAAAAAGTACAAGGTTACAATTGCATAAAAGATATAAGACTTGATTGGTGTATGGTTGAAATTTAAATACCAAGATCTTGTAGGTTATTTTTTTTATAAACAATTAATACTTCAAACCAAAAGTAAATGTTCTCAGGGACTGGTTATAGTTGTAATTTCAAGTTACCAACCCATTAAAAGTTCTAAAAACAACGGTACTTTTATGGACTAGGGACAAATTAAATATTTCATAATAGATAAACTAAAGTGGTTTCCTTGTTTTCCTTTTAAATATCTATTCATCACAAAAGACGACATTATGAAACGTCAACAGGGTAAATATATACCGGATTTCTGGAGAAGACGACATTACTTACTATCTATGGTAACCCGAGAAAATGCGTCAAATTTGCGTAGATTTTCTGATGCGCTATCTTTAATAAGCAAAGTCTTTGATCTGTTCTATTTAGTGTTCTGCGCCGTTTAGCCTGGTAAAATCTGTATGTGTACTGTACAGAGCTAGCTCTAGCTGGTTAGATGGAGGCCCAGTTCTTGAAATGAACCTGACTTAACAATGTTTTAATCTTATAAATCCCCACTGTTGCTGTGATGAAGGTCTATAAAGTTACCAATGTTATATAATCGGGCATAGTACTTTGTTGATGATGGGGGAGGTCTTTTGAAACTACGATGCCAGCCCAAGTTTGATTGTTCAAATGAAATTATTTTCTCAAACTTCAAAAAACGTTTTGTTTTTATTTTTACCTGTAAAGGGTATGATGCCCAGGGGGTTGAACTAAAGTTGGAAAGGAGGGGCAGAGGCCGAGGAAGGCTGAAAAAGGGCGTGGCAAATCTAGCAATGTGATTGGCTGTGAGGACCGAGGACCCTTCCTGATTCGTTGAGGTTGGCGGAACTCTGCCCTCTGGCGGCAGAAGACGAGGGACCCACCGGATTGAGAAATCTGATAAAATATAAAATCAAAATTTATTTATGTCCTTAAAACTAAATCGCTTTCCCCAATAACTTGATGAAACTAGCCCTTTGCTTCATCGGAGACCTTTGTACGTTTTCTTTGAGATATATTTGATTCATCGGAGAAATAGCAAAGTTTTATCGGAGAAACAACACAATTTTATCGGAGAAATAGCAAAGTTTTATCGAAGAAAAAGCAAAGTTTTATCGGAGAAATAGCAAAGTTTTATCGGAGAAATAGCAAAGTTTTAGCGGAGAAATAACAGAGTTTTATCGGAGAAATAGCAAAGTTTTATCGGAGAAATAGCAGAGTTTTATCGGAGAAATAGCAAAGTTTTTTTCGGAAAAATAACAAAGTCTTATCGGAGAAATAACACAATTTTTGCGGAGAAATAGCAATGTTTTATCGGAGAAATAGCAAAGTTTTTTCGGAGAAATAGGAAAGTTTTATCGGAGAAATAACAAATTTTTCCGGAAAAATAGCAAAGTTTTATCTGAGAAATAGCAAAGTTATATCGGAGAAATAACAAAGTTTTACCGGAGAAATAACAAAGTTTTATCGGGGAAATAACACAATTTTTTTTCGCAGAAATAGCAAAGTTTTATCAGATAAATAACAAAGTTTTATCGGAGAAATAACAAAGTTTTATCGGAGAAATAGCAAAGTTTTATCGGAGAAATAACACAAATTTATCGGAGAAATAACAAAGTTTTATCGGAGAAACAATAAATTTTATCGGAGAACCCTTTTTCAACAGTAATCCAAAAAAGTCAACCAAGTCTGTAAAACTAGCTAAGGCAATTTTCATAGCAGTCTGGATCTTTAAATTTCAAAGGAGATTATAGGAATATTATTTTCGTTTCAGTTGATACAATAAGCTTTAAGTCGAAAACCCCAAAAGATCGATCGTCGGAGATCCTACATATATTGCCAGAGATGCCGTATTTCATCGCAGAACAAGATAAAATACGGGGTCTCTTCGGCCGGAGACCAACAAAATACTGGTATGCCTTAAATGGAAAAAGATTGAGTTTCCATAGTGTCTGACATTTAGTTTTAAAATCCCTTTCCTCCCCCCCCCCTCCCCCAACCCTTCTCCATGTTTTATAAATATGAATTCATGTAATAAGATATTTAGTTATTTAAAAAGTTGCATTCTAAGAGACGCGCAATTATTTTGAAATATAATATTCTTTATCAGCGATATGCAGTCATTTTTCTAAGCAAGCTGCATTTCTCCGTATTACTAAACATTATAACTTATCAGTAACATACTTAAGGTTAAAATACTCTTACCAATAAGCAATTATACAAATGTTTGTATACGTTAAGCGTCTCAACGGCTTCACCGATCGAGCCCAAATTTTCCTCAAACTATAAACTTTAAATTTGAATATCTTTGTAACCTTTCAAATGTAAGACTGTGAGTTTTGCCAAATCTATCTATCTATCTATCTATCTATCTATCTATCTATCTATCTATCTATCTATCTATCTATCTATCTATCTATCTACCTATCTATGTGTCTCTGTTGATCCTTCTAACATCTAATCTAATTATAATCTATTGTTTTCAGTTCTCTAGTCTTATATCCTCTCTCCTCTTCTATTAATTAGTTAGCTAGGTGTAAGTACAAAGAAGGGGGGGGAGAAATTGGGGGCGCAAGATTTTAGACGGAAAAGTAACGCAAAAATGTTTATAATTAAGATAAATTGGTCATGAACATAATAGGATATTAAAATAAATAGGTCAGAAACATTATAGGAAATTGAGATAAATAGGTCAGAAACTTAATAGGAAATTAAAATAAATAGGTCAGGAACATAATACGAAGTTAAGATAAATAGGTCAGGAACATAATACGAAGTTACGATAAATAGGTTAGGAACATAATAGGAAATTAAGATAAATAGGTCAGGAACATAGTAGGAAATTAGGATAAATAGGTGAACTTGAAGTTGAAAATATGCAAGAGAGGGAATTAACCATGTTCAAAACATATACCAGATATAGGGGTGTTCAATATATAATAATATTGTGTTCAAAACATATACCAGATATAGGGGTGTTCAATATATAATTATATTGTGTTCAAATCATATACCAGATATAGGGGTGTTCATTATATAATAATATTGTGTTCAAAACATATACCAGATATAGGGGTGTTTAATATATAATTATATTGTGTTCAAATCATATACCAGATATAGGGGTGTTAAATATATAATGATATTATGTTCAAAACATATACCAGATATAGGGGTGTTCAACATATGATTATATTGTGTTCAAATCATATACCAGATAATAGGGCTGTTCAATATATAATGATATTGTGTTCAAAACATGTATATCAGATATAGAGATGTTCAATATATAATGATATTGTGTTCAAAACATATACCAGATAATAGGGCTGTTCAATATATAATGATATTGTGTTTAAAACATGTATATCAGATATAGAGATGTTCAATATATAATGATTTTGTGTTCAAAACATATACCAGAAATAGAGCTGTTCAATATATAATGATATTGTGTTCAAAACATATGCCAGATATAGGGCTGTTCAATATATAATGATACTGTGTTCAAAACATATACCAGATATAGGGCTGTTAATATATAATGATATTGTGTTCAAAACATATGCCAAATAATACGACTTTCCAATATATAATGCTATTGTGTTCAAGACATATACCAGATAAAAGGGCAGTTCAATAATGCAATTGTTTTCATACATATACTGCAGATGATGATAAGAATGTTCAATAACTATGCGGTGTTTACAACAAGCTAGATAATGAGGCTGTTCAATAATGATATTTTGTTCAAATCAGGGTTGTTGTTTAATGGCAATATTGTGTTCAAGACATGCCTGATAATGAGGCTGTTCGATTTATAATATGTTCTAATTGAATACCTGATAGCAGGACTTTTCATATAACAAATTATGTTCTAACCCTCTAATTTAGACTGTGGTCTGTTTAATAATTAAATGTTGCTTCAAACCAGTCAGAATTTAGGTCTTTGGAAACAGTATAAGCTTCTCATTAAAGAAACATGCAAGCGTAATTTCATGAAAAAGATACAATCGTTTTTCTGACCCAAAAGTGTTTAATTCTAATTATTTCTCAAAGAAATGCGCAAAGTCACTGTTGCAGAAAACCTGCAAATAAAAAAAAACAGCGTACAAAAACAAAAACAATCACATGACTATCTAAGCTTTCAAGGTACAATTGTGAATCGGGCGTCGCCATCTTTAAAAAAGGTTACTTAAGAACGAAATTATGCTTTCAAGTTACATAGTCCATTTAATCTGATTTTACTTAACAATAGCAATCAATATGTTTTTAATGAAGAAACATAAACTTTCCTGGAACTCATAGGCGTGTATATCAAAGAAGATTGTTAAAATAATACTCGGCACGGGAAGCCGTAGTACATTTGAATTTCCGAGCCGGGTCAACCTTTACGGTTCCAGTTTCTACTGTATCGCCCGGACATTGGGTAAATAAAGCAGACACTCATTAGGACTAGCCGGTGCAACAAGGTTGACGCGGTCAGACTTAAGGTTAAATTTACTTTTGCCAAAGGGTCAGAGGTGCGTATCGGTTATAAAATTTAGACTGAGAGTTATGAGGGGGAAAAGACGGTGTGATAACCTGGTATTTTAACCATCTTCTTTCTTATGTAGTATTCGTCGCAAGATATGTTGAAGGTACGTGGTTGTGTTGAATGAAGTAAGGTTTCAGGAAGACAGATGTGGTTATAAATATATAGAATACAATCATACATTTAAAAATCACATCACGATTCCTTGGTTTGGTTTGGTTTAGATAGGTTTGGTTTTGAATCATCTTAACTTCAGTTCTTCATAGTTCATCTCAGCACTTTACTAGTTAGTAATATCAGGAATGTTAATATGTATTACATTGTCTTTTAATATAATATTCTCCCCCCCCCCCCTCCTCCCTTGCAAAATATATGTGTCAATACCATAAGATTGAACCCTGAACTAACGAGAGAGAGGGAAGCATTCGGTTTCTTTTATTTGAAATCAAACATGTTTTTGTCTATAACTCAACAGTCTTTAGACTTACAGATTTGTTTATTTTATGCTTTTTCATTCATATGTATATGCCAACAAAAAAGTATTTAAGATAAAAGGCTATAAAATTATGTAAAAGGGGTCATATTGTGATCGAAATTCACAGTTTTCTGAAATATTGACAGAACCGTTAAATCCAAACAAATTTCGAAAGAAAGTGTATTCGATTAAGAAGTTGAATAAAAGAAATAAAAAAAAAATAAAAATAATTAAAAAATTTTAATATTTCAGGTCGTTCTTTTTTTTTAACGACACCCTTTCTTATGAAAAATACAACTCAAATATTTGATGAATACATATATAGAGAGAATCTAAGCAATGCTATGAAGTCTAAAAGCGAATAGAAAATTAGTTACGAAGTCATTAATCTAAGTAAAATACGACTCAAAAATAGTAATGAACATAAATATATATATTAAATAAACAATAGAAAATGTTCTGAACTTATTTTAAGAAGATATATATAGAACAAGGTGTTAAATTATACGAAGGCAGGCCTATTTATTGTCCAATCATTAATCTAAGGAACTGTTGTGTCATGGAGTTCTAAATCTGAGGAGTGGTTATGTCATGGAGTTCTAAATCTGAGGAGTGGTTGTGCCATGGAGTTCTAAATCTGAGGAGTGGTTGTGCCATGGAGTCTATGATGTTGGAGTGGGCACCGGATTAATCTATAGATTACCCACAACTACATCACCTCTCCACAACACTAGGATTACTGGACCAACCAGGCATGTTAATAGTTTAAATTTTTCGTAAAATTTTAAAAAGGTTTCGATACTTAGACTTTGATTGCATAATTTAGAAATTATTGAAAGTTAAAAATATTAAACTACGACATAATGTTGTAAAGGTATCAGCATTTAACAAAAGATTGAGTATTTGCTACAAACTCTGATTTTCAAATGTCTATCTTTGTAACCAAATTTGGTAGACCTTAGATATTTCAAGCTATGAATTTTGTTAGATCAATTATAAGTTAGAAATATCAAATGTTTACACCATCACAGCTGAAAACTTTAGAATGGGATATCCTTAATCCTGATCGGTAAATTAATCTGGAGGTAAATATAAAGAGGAGAACAAGCATTATTTAATCTGGAGATTAAGAAAAAGAGTGGATGAAGCATTAATCCCGATATACACCTTTCAAAAGTTCCCAGCTATAGTTACTTAAATATAGGTTTTAAAAATTTTAATTCTTTTGAGGAGTAGAAATTGCATAACTTAATAATAATTTAATAATTAAATTATTATTATTATTAAGTTAATTAAATTATTTTTATTATCAAATAATCCAAATTAACCCAAAGCAATCTTAAATCACCAATACGAAAATTATTGAAAACCTCTAAAATTTCACAATTCACAATTTCAAATTCAAAAATATTAAAATTAATCATGTTAGTAATGATTTGTTAGTGCTCTTGCAGAAGTCCAGATAGTAGATTAGAAAGCTAAAGTGTTCTTCTCTGTTTAAAAGTCCGTTAACAACTGATAATTTTCTCCACCCAACTGGTTTATATAGCTTCAAATCTGACACCCATCAATATATGTTAAATACCGCGTAATTGATATATTTATAATCATGAAGAAAAAACCTAAAGGCTACAAATCTTAACTGTCATATTGATTTCCAAATAAGACTTTAGTACTTATCACCAATCTTTAAAAAAAGGCGAAAGTTTTTTAGTTTAATTATACTGATTCAATTTTGGGCCTTCATTACGCCTTAATTGTATAGTTTATTGTTAACCCAATCACGATTTGGGGCGAGGTGGGGGAGGGGTTCCACCCCCCCTCCTGTGTGGTTTTCTTCAAACTTAAAATCGGCTTTCACTAAAATTCTCAAACATTTTGACTTTTTCATTTTCATAGCTGTGAACAAATTGTGCATAAAAAATTATATCATAGAATAGGGTGGAGGGCGGTCATACTGCTGGTCGGTGCTATAAAATGGGGCACATGGCCAAAAGTAAAAATCAACATTTTTCCGACAGACTCTTTGAAACTTTTTTAACCCTCCCTAGCACCCTAAACATTAATGTTACAGGTCTAATTTTTTTAAATGAGCAGGCCTTTAAAAGTTTGACGATGGTCATGTGCCACACCCCACTATCTCCACTCTAATGGCAACCCCCCCCCCCGCATCTTTTAGACAAAAATATCCCAATTGGGTTAAAGGGATTGACCGGCGATGTATGGGAGTTGAACAGAGAATTTGTTTGTGTTGAAAACTTTTTTAGGATTCATTTGAGACATATAAAACAATGATGTATAATTACTGAGTATTAGTTCAAAGTCGAGGTTTAAAATAATATTTTTGAGAATCGATTTTTTAAAATCATTAGATAACGACGACGAAACACATATCAAAATTTTTCAGTAAACTATAGAAAATGTTTGTAAACAATGAGAGATTACAGAAACTAAGAACTGAATATGATTACTTATATTCGATGATAAGAGTTAATTTTTATTTTCTCAACCTATTCCTTAACAACTATATAGTAGAATTTTTATTAAATTTTGTCGTCGTTATTTAATAATTAAAAAATAAGAATCAATTCTCAAAACGTAACCATCCAAATGAATAATGTTGAAAGTCTAATTTGACTAATAATAATAGTAATTATAGACCATTCGTTTTATTTGTCTCAAATTAATCTTAAGAATTTCTCTACAACACTATACATTCTCAGTTCAACTGCCATAAATTCCCGGTTACTCCCTTTAGGAGTGAGCTAGAAAAAAGTTACACGTCAAAACTTTAGAACCGATTGGGCCTCTATATTTCATCATTTGATTTATGTCCGCGGTCAGTTCCAGATTTTTTGTTTGTTCAAAAAGAGATAATGCTCGTGATAAAAAAACCTTAAAAGTCTAGTAATCTGAATTCTTTAAATNCCCAACCGGACCATATACATTTATTTTGTTCTTGTTTCAAAGACAATAAGTTTCAACGTGGTAGGCTGTGTCTAAAATAAAAATTCTGAAGCAAAAATGAAAAAAAATTGCTTAATAATTCAAATTTTTTTTATCGAAAAATCAAACTTTCTTTTTTTCTTTTTCTATATTTTTAGAAAATGTATATAAATTTTTAGCGCCTTCTTGTTTAGAAATTTTTCAACTGCACACTCAATATAAAATATTGCACGAGGGTCAGGTAACATGTATACAATTAAGTGTTTATTTTTTTTATAAATATGAAATTCATTTTAATAATTTTGTAATTCGTCTATGCAAAAATTCCCCCCCACCTTCCCTCCTCATTGCATATTTTCTAGAATTTGAAAAACAAACTTTTAATTGTAAAACATATGTGGATTACTTAAGTGATGAATATCAATATTTATTTTATGAAAGAAATATTTTCTAGCATTATAGTTATTTTGGTAGCTTAATCATTTCTTATCTTATTTCATCTTAAATGTAAAGATATCTTAAATAAGATATAATTTATTTTTAAAGTACGATTTTAATGTAGTAATTCGCAAAATTTGCGTATCATCCTTTCAACAAAAGACCCGTTCAAAATAGTAAAGTCCTATTTAAAACAATATAAAATTAGAAATAAAGTCCTGAAAATTTACATTTTTTAGTCTAAAATAAAAATGTAGATATAAATTAATGTCCTAGATCTCCTTAAAAGAAAAAACCTCACATGATTATCTATCTATCTTAATCTAACCTGCCATAGTTTTATTACTTTAGAGGTGGGGTTTACAGACGAATAACGTTGGGAGAAAGGGGTTAAATTGTATATTTAATAGTCCCGGATATGAAGATTTCAAAACTGAAAGGGATACTTTCCAGCTTTCGTGTGGTGAAGCTATATTTGGCAAATTCAAATTCATATTCGATTTTCACAACAGAAGATAAATAGTCAAAATCATAATAAAATCTTTCTTTGAATTGAAATGAAATTTCTCATTCAAAATGTGACACTTTTCAGTGAACAAAAATAAGTTGACAATATTTTTTTAAGAAGGGTGGTAATTAAAAGAAAATATTTTACCCTTGAAAAAAGTTTTACTCACTTGTTCTCCAAATATTGGCATGTTTTGAACTTGTTCCTGGGCTCAGAAGAGGAGGAGAAATGGAATCGTTCAAAATCTCAGTTCTAAACGTAAAAGTTTCAAAATGATTTCTATTTATTTATGTTTGCTAAAAATTGAGATATGACAAAATTTTGGGCTTTGAAATGTATTATGCAGAACACTACAGTAAAGAAGGTCGACATTTTACCGTTTATAAAATTTATACAATGAGGGAAGCCAAGACATATAAGCTGATCTTCGAATTCGCCAAAAAAAAATTATTGTCAATATTTTCTAGTTTGAGATATTGACAGCCCATGCAAAAATTTTTTCAGTGTTGAAAATCAACGACTGAGAGAAAGCTTAGGTAAGGTACAACAAACTCTGATTTTCTAATCCCTATATCTTGATGCAACTTGATGTTGAAGACCTCTGATATTTCTAACTATAAATTCTGTAAGATTAAATAATCTGAGTTTGAAATTATATACCGTCAAGTTGCAAAGATAGAGAGATTAGAAAACTTAATTTCTTTGAATGCAGTATTCGATCTTGCATAAAATAATAAAGAACCATGATTTGGTTTAAAATCAAAACGCATCTAGATGAAAAAAGGTTGAAATTTTCCTTGTTTCCTCTCTAGTTCTATCTAGATCCTCAGCTATCTTTTAGTGTAGACAATTATTTAATCATTTTAATAATTTTTTTTAACATTAATTATTTCTTTCGATTGTGTTTGATAATTTGAACATCACAACTGAAATGTATTTTTCAGATTATTACATTATGCATATTTAAGGTCACCTCATTTTTGTAAAGAGCAAATATTCTTGACCATTCGATTGTGTTACAGTATTAAAAATCGAATTCTTGAATTAAAAATTCACCTAAAATTTTATAATTTTTGAAATTTTTTGCTGCTAAAGCTCATATGAATTTGATCTCATCAACGAAATCTGATTTCTGAAAGTACTTTTTGCAAAAGTACAAATACAAAAAATGTCTACAGTTTAGATTATTAAGTGAAAAATTAAATTTTTTCAATTCCTATACCACCTTCAAACCCATTTAAAATATAAAAATTTTTGAATTTTTGAGAAATTATATTTTGAAATATCACAGGATATATATACATACAAAAATGCTATAAGATTGATGCCTTTTCACTAATATATATATATATATATATAAATATATATATATATTTAAATTTTAAAATATTTGTTTAAATTCCTTGTTGTCTAAAATGTTATCAATCGAGAAATTTGAGTATCTTGACTTGGAAACGAAGTTGTTTGTTTTCATTATTTCGCCATTTTTATGTCATTTCTGAAACCAACAAAATGAAAATACTACAAGTTTTAAACCCTAGGGTATTCTAAAGGAAGTCTCCCTGTTGAGGACGTATTATTTTAGGAACTGGTTACAACATTATATTGTTAAGTTTCTTATGAAAATTGAAAGGTAAAGAATTAAGACTACTTACTCCGAAAGATAGATAAGACAAAAATTACTAGCAATATATCTTTTATTTTAATCCTAACGTGTTGGGACTTTCATTTACTCCCAACCCCCACCCCCATTCCATCCTTTAATATGCTTGGGAAACCGGTGCGAAATGTTATTTTTTTCGTGATGAGTATATTATTCTATGGGTTTTGCTAAACAAATCCCGCACATTTAATAGTTCGATCCTTATCCCAGCAAGCACTGATTTTCGATCCCAATTTGGCCAATTAAGCGTCAATTTTTCGCTTTTTATACTGTATACTTTTTTTGTTGGCAAAAGGCAAAAAGACAAAAAATAAAATCGCGATTCAGTTCAAATTCAAGAGACCAACCACATCTATTCTAGCTCTGGAGTCCAAGGTAACATTTTTTATACTTAGAATTACATAAACTGTGTCGGTTAAGCACAATCCTCATACCAAAAAACATGTTTCAAAAATATATTACCCCCTTTTTGCCCCTCTTTGCCCCCTAAACCCCCTTTGGCCATTCCCCTTACAGTTGTATTGAAATATAATGAATACACATCATTCCTTTAGGTATAATACTGCTGACTAAATATCTAAACAAAGTCAAATTTCCAAACAGAGCATTTAGCTAGAATTTTAATCGGATTGTTTAATTTAGTGTAGACGATAGCTTACTTATCATAAATGCAATACTAGGAAATATTTTGGAAATTTGAACCCCTCCCCACTTACTCTCTCGCCTCCTTGCATGCATTGCATATTTGTGCACATTGAGCATATCAGGGTTTTATAGATATCTGGACTGAATAGGACTGTGGATTTAATTTTAAATAAACCTCCATCTTTAAAGGGACATGCTTGATTCGCAACAGTACCCTTTACATTATCGTATTATCAAAAATAACTTAAACGTCCTTGTTGTTTTATTAGAAAATTAATAATTTCCAATTGTGGTTTTTTAAAAAAATTACTCGCAGATTAAAAAAGAAAAACCGTCAAAATCAGACTTTCAAGTTTTTAAACGTCGCTTTGAACCATTTTCTGTCCAATCTTAACTCGATCATAAACCTTTTTCTATTTCCCTTACGTTTTGATAAGGGCACTGCACTCGTTAGAACCGTGTAATGGTTTAAAAGTTTCAAATAAAGCAAGTTGATTTCTATAGGAAAAAAATAGTTTTTTAGGCAGTTGTTTGTCAAAGCTAGTCGCCAGGTGCGGCTTTCGATACTTTCCAAAAGGGAAGAGTGTGGGAGGGGGGGATATTTGAAATATTGTGTGCGAAGCGCGCCGAAAATGCTCCTCGGAATCTTATTAAAGTATTTCAGCCATGTTTTGTCAAAACCCTGAAATGATTAAAGGGTAGCAGTAAAAAATGGTACCCCCTTTTTAATTTTCATAAGATTAAACGGCTAGAAGGTGAGCTCTCTCTAGATGCGCCCCCCCCCCCGAATTTTCAAGGGGAGGGGAAGCCCTGTTAGTATCATACAAGTTATTTACTGGTTAATGGTTTGTAGGAAACTGAAGAATAATCCTGAAAACTGATTATCCTCCTAATCCCAATCCAACATATTCCACACACCTTTACATTACATTCTTTTAGATTTGGGGACATATTATCAATTCCAATATATTTGAGGATAAGGATAATTTAAATTTAAAATTCGAATATTTTTGTTTTTAAGACCATTGATGTGATAAAAATGTTCTCTTAAATTCGTCCAATAGGTGTGTGAGGCGGCTGTAGGGGGAGGAGCCTCGGTCCTAAACCTGTGACCGAATTTAAAGAATTTGAGCGGCGGTTTAAATTTAAGCCGCGGTTTAAATATGGTTGGTTCCACTTAAAATTGTATCAAATGTTTCAAGATTTAAGCCGGCGCTTAATTTAAACCGGGTTTTGGCTGATTTAAACCTCGGCTCATTTTCTTTAAATTCCATCTTTGGATTATTAAAGGGAGTGTTCATGGGAGACAAAAACAGGGTTATGGTCGAATCCACGAATCAGATTAGATATATAGATTGTTTATCTTCATTTCTATGTCTCAATGCAGAGAGATAAACACAAAGCTTTTAAGAATGCATGTTGGATTAAAAAAAGTAATGGAGTCATATTTTCTAATTACGATATCTACAGGGTGTCCGAAAAAACATGGGAATTCAGTGACGAATTCGATATCGTCTTTGTTATGAATTAGCATTGTAATACCTAATTTCAAAAGCCATAATATTATTATGTCTGCTAGAGTTTATTTTATGAAAACGGTAAAAGACTGTAAAGATGTGTCTATAATGTCTCCGCACGATGAACAGTAAGACAGACAAGTTTACTCTGTTTGTATACTGCAATTTTCTTGTTTTACTAAGTACAACCGTATGCAGTCAAAACATAAACAAATTGTAAACATAGCAGACTAAACTCTTACAGATTACAGCTTTCTCATTAGGTATCACTATACTAAATCAAAGAATTATTTAAAAAGACGATATCGAATTCGTCACTGAATTCCCATGTTTTTTGGGACACCCTGTATGTTACCCAATGTCGTAATACCTTATTAGATATATCAAAATATGAGTTCTGTTTGATCAACGAAAAGACTCAATTCCTGTGGCGGAAGGAAAAAGATCAAAACTGGGGGGAGGGGGGCCAAGTTTGAAATAGGGGGATAGATGGAAAGTGGGTGGAGGGATGGGGGGAAGGGAGTGTGGAGGGGTGTGTTTTGTTGTGGGGAAGGGGATGTGGAGGGGTGTTGAATGTTTTCAATATTCCCCCACCTTTGTAGAAGTGAGATAGCAGTATAATTGATCTGACATATACACGTTAATCAAGGAGGAATAGACAACAAAAAGAAATTATTTAAGAAAAAAGTTGAATTAGAACTGAGCACTTGACACACGCTCTAATAGTGGTAATACTATAACTTCTCTTCCTGGCGTCGTGGACTTTAGATACTTTAATTTAACCAGCTATACCCGGTTGGGCTATTTTGGTCTAATAGATTTCATTTCATAAGAAACTTCTATAGTTACTGTGCCATAGAGGGTTTTAAAAAGTTCAAAAAGTACGTGGGAAAAATGATGATTTTAATTTACTCTTGACAAATATTAACATGTTATACACGTTATAATTCATCCATTTTTCGATGGCTTTTAAAATAAATAAATTCCATAAATATGCCTTAATTAACTGATAAGCTTTTCACTTTTTTGATATTTTTGTATCACCGAGACCAGGAAAAACAATTTAAAGTAATCTTTTAAAATTCAGAAAATTTTCGGAAAAGTGCGGAATTACTTAAGTGCGGAATTACTTAAGTGCAGAATTACTTAAGTGCGGAATTATTTAAGTGCGGAATTAATTAAGTGCGGAATTAATTAAGTGCGGAATTACATCTGAAAAATATTTTAGATCAATTTCCACGTTTTTTAGAGATTAAAATCTCATTATATTAAATTAAATTCCCTACAGATCAAAAGGTTTATAAATCAGATTACTGTTTGACCGGCCTCCAGTTCCACTCTATATACCCTATGCATGAAAAAAAAAAGTTCTTCCCCGAGCGGTTTATGTATATTGTCAGCCCTTCTTAAGTTATAAAGAAAATACGACAGGGCGGGCGCCCAATCGTGAATTTGCAAGATCAGAAATTCATAGTTTAAAATTATCAAAGGTTTGCACGCACCATTGTTGGGTAAGGGTGCACTGCATCTACAAATATAAATTCTTCCGATGTATTCGTTATTAAGGGTTTCACTGTACATAATGGAAAATTAAAATTTCTTGAAAGTACTCCGTATGTATGTAGAAAACCCAAAAACAAAAATGGCGGTGGTATACATTTGAAAAATAAGCTTTTCAGGCACTTTTTATTAAGTTAAGCTTGCTTGAATTGGTGACCTGAATAAGTTCAAATCCAACAAAAAATGTTTTTACTTCTTTAACTTTTGATCACTTCAGATTATGCATTTGTTTATTGTTGCTTTTTTTAAAATTCTATATTTATAAAAATGTCATGATGTGGTCCTCTTAAAAGCTGCAAATAATATAAAAGTCCTCTAGCTCATTGATTTCTTCTGACTTATCAAATATATGGTTTCCTATTGTATTCTGCACTTGGTGTGAAACCTGTAATTATTGGTAAACGAAAACACAAAAAGAAACCATTTTGTAGGATATGATTATATTTGTAAATTAACTTCAGATATAATATCAAAGGTTTTGTTTGTTTTATATTTTTTAATTCGTGTTTTTTTTACACAGCTTGTTCTTAATTCATCCTGAATCCAAAATTGACATATTAAGGAAAATTTTCTATTTAAATACAAGAAAAAAA